CTCTAGAGTGATGGATTCAGGATTTGCTTTCAGGTATTTTGATAGCTGTTGGAGTGGTTAGAATTAATGTCAGTTCCCTCTCAGAGGCTTCTAGATAGGGGGAGAAAACAAATTCATCCATGATTTTAGAACAATAGCCGGTTGTCTCCCTTAGATACAGGTGGGCATTACAGTATTGAAGACCAAGATTTGAAGTCTTACATCTGAGCAGCACTTTCTGGTTAGGAACAAATCATCAATAAGAAATAATTGTCTAAATAACTTTTTATATACATTTAAGCCTAATGTCTGGGAAATGTAATCCCTTGAACTTTAAAGAAATATACTGATGACTTTACTCTTTTGTTATACTTTCCTTTGGGGTGTTTAATACCACACAGTTGGCCCAAATAAACTGATTTATTGTTACACTTAAGATCATTTGAGGATCTGTTCCTCAGGGGTCACATGGGCTTGGGAGAAGCTCCTGGCTCCTTTCTTTTACCAGTTCCACCTATGTGAAGATAAGTCAAAGGTCCTGCTCAACCACGTCTAGCTTCGCTTGGAAGCATGAATGAGATGTTTCCTCTGAGTTGACCCTCCTCTTTGTAGACTGGACACTGGTTCAAGTCCATCTCGTGGGGTCTTCATGTCCTCCCTGAACAAGAGGACAGGTGACTCATCATAGTTACCGGACATTTTGAGAGATATTCCATAGTCCCCTGGAACTTAGTTGACCTTGAAGGGCAAGGGGCAAAAACTGTCCTTTAATTCTCTCTGACCACATTAGTATAGGCCTCAAACTATGGCTGTTGAACATCCAATAAGGTTAGTTCCACCAGTCTGGTACTTTTAATTATCATATGCTATGTAGATAAAGCTTAGGTAAAGAACCAAATATTCTCTGATAAACTTTGACTAGATATATATTTTGTTCCTTAAACTAGTTGGCTAAACTATGACCATAGAAATTTTAAGATTATGTGTATATTATTTTTGTCTCATCCTTTTATATAGCATAATAAACCTACACAGACCTTCATCACTTGCTTAGGCTTTCTCTATTTTGGAAAATATCTCCATTCCCATATCCTTTTAGCATCTTTTACAATCTCATTTTCCTTTTTTTATTAAATAATTATGAGATATAATAGCATTAACAAATAAATTGTCTATCTGTTGTGAGACTTCTTTTCCTGGGGATGCTAAGCAATGCTTATTCCCTTTTAAGGTTCTAGTGTCAAGCCAATGTTTGATTAAAGTTTTACTGGGGAACCAATGAATTTACTGAGCTTGCTTACCAAGATAACTGAGGGGTTGCTGAGGTGTATGTATGACCTGAGGGTATGCACACTGGAAAGCCTTTATACAGCATGGGTCATGCCTTCTCTTCTTAGCCTTCCCCTGATTATATACTTTAGCCCTCCCCAAATCTAGGAGGCCACGTGTGATTAGGGCCAAATTACATACAGGTGGCTGGGAAGAGTGGCTGGATACTAAGGTGAGGGTCCAGTGACCCTGCTTGGCCCTCCTTTAATGAATGAGCACAACCGTCAACAAGCCCAATTGTGACAGTGAAACAGTGATTTAAAAAAAAAAAATGTTTTGGCCTGGGTAGGGTGGCACATGCCTTTAATCCCAGCACTCAAGAGGCAAAGAAAGGTGGATCTCTGGGAGTCTGAGGCCAGGCTGGTCTACATAGCAAGTTCCAGGCCAGCTAATGCTACACAGTAAAACCCTGTCTCAAAAACAAAACAAAAATTTGTTTGGAAGAGAGGGGTTTTGCAACATGAAGTTTTTCCTTTTTTTCTTCTGTTTAAAACTATATTAAGCCAGCAGGGAATGGTGGTGCACACCTTTAATGCCAGCACATGGGAGGCAGAGGCAGGTGGATCTCTGTGAGTCTGAGGCCAGCCTGGTCTATATAGTGAGTTCCAGGCCAGCTGGGGCTACAGGGAAACCCTGTCTCAAAAAGACATAATAAATAAAAATAAATAACAAAAACAAGTCTAATATCAAATTTTTATATTGAAGGACAAAATATTTACAATTTTGTTGAATGTGGCTAAAATTCAACAGCAATCTAGCCCTATGAATAAGATCAAATCAATCTTCCAGCAATAACTTTTTACCTTATATACAAATACATAATATTTTAAAATGTGTTAAAATTATATATAATTGAGGCTCATCTCAAACTCACTGTGTAGCCAAGGATGACCTTGAACTTCTGATTCTCCTGCTGCCACAATTACCACCATTAATACACACGTACACACACACACACACACACACACACACACACACACACACACACTACATGTAGTTTATGCAATGATGGGAATCAAACCTAGGGCTTTGTGCATGCCAGATAAGCACTCTACTAATTGTGCTACATTTTCAGCCCTCAAGTTATAGATTTAATATTTAAATTTTAATATGTTAATATATTTATATATAATATTTAATATATATTTAATACATATTTATTATTATATATTATATATTATTAATATATTTAATATTTAATAGTAAGTTTTATATTTAAAGCCAATATTGTTGGTGGTTTCCAAGCAGGTAATAAATTAGGTACCAAAGAATTGAACAACATGTTCCCTGGTGGTCTAAACAGCACTGGCCCATACCAGAGTCACTTGCCACATGTCACTATTGAGCATTTGCATTGTGACTCATCTGAATTGAAATATGCTGGGAGTATAAGACACATGTCAATAATATTTTTATGGTGATTGTATGTTGAATGGCATATATACATTGGATTAAACAAAACATCTAATTAAAATCAATTCTACTTTTTTTTTAACTTTGGATGGGACTGCCATAGTAATGTAAAGAGGCAAGAATGGAATGATGACAAGGCCAAGGGAAGAGCTGTGCAAGGTGATTAACTGCACCAGTGTGTTAGCCTTGACCATCTGGAAGAGAGCAAGCTGGTGAGGGAGGGCATGGGCTGGCCATCACAGAAAAGGGTTTGTAGGCAAAAGGAAGGAATGACCAGGCACAAGCAAGGCTTGTTAAAAACAGGGTCCTGGGTTTCAACACAATGAATGAATGAGCAAATGAATGAATGAATCAGCAGTGAAAACTGTTACATGGAAAAGCAGGATCAAGCAAAGATACAGTGAGGTGGAAGTCAGGTTTTGTGTTTCATACTCACTATCTCTAGAGCAGCTGAGTTGAAGGTTTTTTTCTTGTTCACTTAAAGGCAAGAATTCCTACAGAAGAGAGCCTAGGCTTAGCAGGGGAGACCCGCAGAAGTTAAACTCTGCACTTGAAATCTTACAGGCTGATTAGCTGATATGGTTTTGATTCTAGATCACAGTCCTAAGCGTGGATTCTGAGGCTTGAGTCTGGGATTCAATCCCCAGTAACTTTCTCTGTGTTTTCCCTGGGGCTGGAGGTCAGAGACCATAGCACAAAGTCACCTAACCCCAGGCGGAACCAACCTGGCAGGGGACAAGATATTCTAGAAACTCTCGTGCCCCTCCCTTGGCTTTCAGACTATTGAAACAATGGTCCCTAAGGAACTGGAATTTCCTCAGGAATCTCATGCTCGAAGGAAAAGGCCGGAGACTGGTGCCAGCCAGAGAAGAGGCTTGTTTCCTACAGATTTCACAGTTCTGACAATTTGTCAGGCCACATTAACAGAAGAGATTGGAGCTGAGACAATGACGGGTCAATGAAGGGCAGGACTACACCTTATCCAGGATAGCTAAGGCTATTTAAACTTAAACCTCATATCAGGACCCCTGAGGATGGACTTCCTCTTCCCAGTGTGGCCACACTGAATAGATCTCCTTTTTTTGTTTGTCACTATTGCTTGTCTCTTTTATTGACCTTTTGAGAATGGTGGTTGAGCCTAGTTTGTTAGGGCTGCCAGGACCCAGGCTCTGACCCTAAGAACTCTGGTAACACTGGGATCTAGGCTGTTCGTCATCTTTACAGGTGGTGATGGCATCTCAGAGTTATAGACAGGCAACAGAAGTGCTTACATTTAAATTAGAAACAAGCATTAATCAGAAACAAGCATTAGTCTGGGTGTAGCTCAGTGCGGATTATATGCTCCAGCCCTGGGATGATTCCCAGAGCAAAGAAAGAGAGGAAAGGAAGGGAGAGTGAGAGGAAGGAGAAAGGGAGAGAAGCAAAGACAAAGGAACAAGGTGATGAAAACAAAGGGCCCGACAGACACGAAGTGAAAAGGGATCTCAGCTCCACACTTGGAGAGACGGCCGGCAACCACCAAAACAAACGTGGGGTGGTTTCTTCAGAGTAACAGTAACAAAATCCTTGACTTGAAGAACCAGTGCCTATTGGATGACAGGAAGCAACCCTTTCTTCAAGGAAAAGTTACCAGAAATGAACATTAAAGAGCTGAGTAGAACCTGCCCTGTTTGTGGGAAATTGGGGATCTATTTAGAAGATCAGAAAGCAGAGCCAGGAAGTAGGGTATGTATCCCGACATCTAGGGACCATGTAGGCAAAAATACCAGTTTTGCTAACACTTACTGGGTAAGAGGCAGTAGGTGCTAGGGATCCGTGGTGGGGAAGGGAAGTGACTCTAATAAGCAGTATCAAGGCCAACCATAAACCCAGTCCAAAGCCCCAAAGGAATCTTGTTAAGGGGCAAAATAAAGACTAACGAAGGCAGTGGCTTTGCTTGGAGCTGCACCTTCAAGGACAAATAGGGTCTTCTCCAAGTATGTAAATGCAGGAAGATTATTCAGAAAGAAAAAAGCCTGGGAATATAGGTCAGTGGTAGAACACTTGCCTAGCAGGGCAAATCCCTAAGATCCATAAACAACATGTTAAAGACAAAGCCAGTCCCTTCATCTCACATTCTGTCATCCCATCTTGCTCTATTTTCTCCAAATAATCATTGTAAGGTATTTCTCTGCTAGTTTATTCTTATCCCCCCCCCCCTTTATTTTTCCTTTTTGGTTTTGATGTTTTTAGGTAACCAGGCAGGCCTTGAACTCATAGCAATCCTCTTTCCTCATCCTTTGGTGTGTTGATATTACAGGCGAGAGCTGTGACATCCCTGTATTGCTGTCTTTAACCCTGGTGACCCTACCAACCAATCTGTTAAACACAGTCTCAGTTTATTCCTACTGTCTGGAACTATTTCACTCTTAAAATGACCTGGTTGAAGCATTAAATTAGAACATTTTACATATAACTCCCCAGGAAATTATTATCTTTTTTTTTTTTTTTTAAAGAAAAACACCTTTTTGCTTCCATTTTATTTTTCTACTAACATGGTTATTGTTTGAGACTACTTTATCCCGGTGACAGCCACACACTCCTGTGCCTTCCTGGCCTTGCCTTGTTTCTCAGGATTGAAACTTAAAGACAGACTTCCCTTTTTACAGATATCACTTAATTCTTTTGTAAAATATTGCTTATGATCTATTTAATAAACTCCCAGCCAGACAGCCAGCTACTCATATACTGAGAATGGGAGAGTCATTCTCTGCTAAGACATCGAATCCCAACGTCACAGAAAGCAGGAGACAGATTTTAGGAGCAAGTCTGTTCAAGTGAGAAGGGAGAACTGATAAGCAAAGGCACGCTCCTGGGCTTAGGAAACAATAAACTAAACAACTCTGGCTCGAAGGCCTTCAGCAAATAGCCTTGCATCAAGGGCAAGGCCCAGTTGGCTTCTGCTGAGTGGTGTTTGGATATCACACAGGAGCACAAGTTACCAGTCGCTCTGGAATGTGCTTACCTCGGAAGTCAGGCACAAAGCGGTTTGGAGGAAGGGAGGCCATAAACCACCCTCCCAGGCTTGGCCCTGAGCTTGGCCCTGAGGTCTGCGATACGCACCTTTCAGGTCTCCATTCCCATCATTGTCGCTGTCCTTGAAAGACCTCGTGTAGATCTGGTACATGGGACCCACCTGCCACCAGTCAAGGCACTTTGGAGAGATGGCGATGATAGTTATGGTGGCTCCAATGAGCAGGAACACAGAGGCCACCGTGAGCCAGAAGAGGACCTCCCGGGGCACGCGGTAGCGCGCCTGGCTGGAGAACTGGAACAGCACCTCTTTGGGCATCCCGGCATAGGGACGCACACACTTGCCCTCTGGCTCCTCCGCAGCTGTGATGCTCACTGCGTTGGGCTGTGGGGTGTCCCCGGAGCCTGGGTCTGGGTCCTGCTCTGGGATGTCTTCATTTTGGACAAACCCATTATTCGTCCTGCATCCCTTCATACTCATCCTAATCGAGTCTCTCCTGCTTTTGTCCTCATCCATATCTTCCCCCGACAGCCCTTCCCAGTTGCTTTCCCGCGGGGACTGAGGTGGAAAGGTGAGTTGCTGAGTGCTGTGGCTTGTTATGAGCTTTGCGTGGTTTATAAATAAACCTGGCTGGACAAAGTCCAGCCAAGGAAGAAAGAGTAAAGGTGGTAGGGGGTGGGGTGTAAAAAAAAATTCTCATTACACCAGGAGGCTGATACAGTTACAGTAATGAGGAGACTGGGGAGAAGAGTCAGAGTTCCATAGCCCATAGCAACGTTATTCACAAAAGGTGGAGACAACCCAGATGTCCTTCTTCAGAGAAATGGGCAAACAGTAAAATATACATGCAGAGAATTTTTAGCTTGAAAAAGGAAGGAAAGTTTGAGACATGCTACAAGATGGCTAGGCTTTAGGAACATTATGCTAAGTAAAATAACCACATGGAAGGTCAAATACTCTACAATTCCACTTATACAAGGAACTGACAGTAGCCAAATTCACAGAGACTGGAAAGAGAACAGTGGTTGGCTGGCAGGGGGAATGGGGGAGGGGCTGAAAGAGGAGTAATGGGGAGGTGGGGTTCAAAGGGAACAGAATTTCAGTTTGGGATTTTAAAGAGCTCTGAGGTGGAGAGAGGTGGTGGCTGCACACGACCCAGATGCACTCTGCCACTTGACCTTTGTATTTAAAAATGGTTACAGTGGAATGGAGAGATGGCTCAGTGGTTAAGAGCACTGGCTGCTCTTGCAGAGGACCAGCACCCACAGGGCAGGTAACAACTGACAGTAGGTAACTCCAGTTCCAGAACTCTCTATAATGATTGGCAGGCAATGCACATTCATGGTACACTTACACACATGGACAAAACACTCATATCCATAAAATGAAGTAATAAAATATTTTAATAAATGGCTAAAGTGGCAAATGTTAAGTCTGTTTTACAATGTTTAAAAAACATTTTCTCTCTTTAGCTAGGTACAAAAATAATCCTGATTTTTGGTAGGGGAAACAGATTGTTTTGTTTGTTTGAAGGGCTCCCCTTCCTACAGATCCACACAGAAGAGTTCTGGAGGCAGAGCCTCCTCCTTTGTTACTAAAGCTAATTGTATCTCAGTTCAGACCAACTCCTAGATAGCTCACATGTAGGCTAAGCTCTGTGTGTGCTCAGTTCAATCCTTGTAAGCACTTCCAGAAGGTGGGAGAGAAAGGATTTAGTGTCTTACAAGTTCAAGTGCTTTACTAGAGGTAAACAGTCCTTAATACCAACACTGAACAGTTGTTTAATGAATGACAAGAATAAAACATATTTGCAAGTCAGAGGAAACTGCTGGAAGGCTGAAGGGCTTACCCAAGCCTCAAAGAATGTGATGATTCATGACTTCTGCTCCTTCCACAGCACCTGTGATCCTCTGATTAGATAAAGGACTCTTCTTCTTTTACATTTATTTAAGAGTTGGTTCAGCATTTAAGAGTACTGGTTGCTCTTTCAAAGAATCAGGGTTCAGTTCCCAGCACCCTCATGGCAGCTAACAGCTGTCAGTAACTCCAGTTCCAGGGGATCTGACACCCTCTTCTGGTCTCTGTGGGCATTGTATGACAGGTACACTTACATGCAGGCAAAACACTCATACACATAAAATAAAAATCAATCGGTAAGTGAAATAAGTGAATGCTGCCAGGTTTGGTGGCATATGACTTTAATCCCAGCACTTGGGAGGCAGAGACAGAGGGGTGTCCCAGGGAATTTGAGGATGGCTTGGTCTATATAAGGAGTTTTAAAGCAGCTGAGACTGCATAGTGAGACCCTGTCTTCAAAAAAAAAAAAAAAAAAAGTGAATGCTAATACCTGTCTCATAGAATGCATCTAATAAATGGTCTCTCTCATCATTATTAATGATGCAGGTTGGAATTTTTTTATGTAAAGAGGGCTTGGGGTGGTTTTTTGGTTTGGTTTTGTGTTCTTTTGGTTTTTTTGAGGCAAGGTCTCACTATATAGATCTGGCTAGCCTGGAACTCGCTATGTAGACCAGACTTGCCTCAAACTCACAGAGATCTGCCTGCCTCTGCCTCCTGAGTACCAGGATTAAATGTGTGCACCATTACGCCCAACTAGTGAAAGAGTCTAAGTTTCATGTTTTGATATTGCTTTATCTGTCAAATATATTATTATAATTTTTCATAATAGAAGCTATTTTTAATGAGGAAAGTTTTATTTTGACTCACAATTTGAGGGGTATGTGTGTATGTGTAGTATATTCACATATATATGTATTTGTGCATGCATGGAAGCCAGAGGAGGACATTGGGTATCCTGTTCTACCACTCTCTGCCTATTCCTTTGAAACAAAGTCTGTCACTGAACTTGAAGCTATGCTAGGGGTTGGAAAGTCTCAGCAATCTTCCTGTCTCTGTCCCCACAGTGCTGGGATTATAGGCACATGCATAACCATGACTGGCTTCTTCTGTGGGTGCTAGGATCCAAACTCAGGTCTTCATGCTTCCATAGCAAGCATTCTTACCCTCCTAGGCATCTCTCCAGCCCCTTGACCCACAATTTTAAAGGTTCCAGTCATAGCCAGTTGGCCCACTGCTTTAGAGTTTGTACAGAAGGAGAACATCACTGCAGGAGTTCATAACAGAAGCCCGTCAACCTAAGGGCCAGAAGCAAATGGAGAGAGACAAGAGGGGCCATGGGCTAGTATCTCCAGAATTCAGCTCTTGAAACTCAATTACAATTGGGGTTAAAAAAAAAAAAAAACCTGAAAAAATTATCCATCATTTAAAATAATTTTATTTATTTACTTTTGATGTAGAGTTCATCTGTCTGTCTGTCTGTTTATTTTAGACAGGGTCTCACTATGCAGCCCTGACTGGCCTGGAATTCATTATGCAGACCATGTACCCACATGGTAGCTAAGAACTGTAGTAACTCCAGTTCCAAGAGATCTGATGCCCTTTTCTGGCCTCCATGGGCAGTGCACACGTGTGGTACACCCCAAACACTCATACGTATAAAATAAAAATTAATTAATTATTCAATCAATTAAAATGTACAATCAATCAATCAATCAATAACTAAAAAATTTTTTTAAATACACTGACCAAAGCAACTGAAAGAGAATGGAATTTATTTTGGCTCATAGCTACAGGGGGATACAGTCCACTGTGGCCTGGAAGGCAGGTGGAGCATGAGGCCAGCCTGAAGCAGGGGTAGAACAGGATGGGGCCAGACTATAAAGCCTCAAAGCCCCACCCTAGTGACACACCTCCTCCAACAAGGCTCCACCTCCTAAAGGTTCCACAACCTTGCCAAATAGCTCCACCAGCTGGGAATAGTGTTCAAATACAGGAGCCTAGGAGGACATTCTACATTCAAACCACAACCCAAAACATATTTTAGAGTGATTATTGATGGGTGCTAAGATTATGAATGACACTTGTTTGGTTCTTTAATCTTTTTTGGATTTTTCTAATTTTTTATGTAATAAATGTGAATTATTCTTTTATTGGAGAAAAATAAATTAGGGAAGCCCAAGCTTGGAGTCAACCTAGAACTTCCTAGGCAGGTGGTATATTTCAGTGGAAGATGACTTTTCCTAGTAATAGTCATCCAAAATACACACACACACACACACGCACACAAACACACACACACACACACACACACATAGGCATAAAGTAAAACTTTAAAAAACTAACCCATACTAGTATCTAAAGGGGAAAAGGAGAAAGAAAACACAAATTTAATTGACAAGTTGAAACACAGTAAGAGAAAGCTAGTGGTAATCTGGAGAAAATGTCCACAAAAGCTAAGAATTTGAAGTACAAAGTTACTTCCAAAGAGAGTTAAAGAAAATACTGATTACCAGGAAATGGAACACACTACCAATAAAACCTGGAAATATGAATACAGGACAAACCCTCAAATAATCAGAGCAAAGAATGAGAGATAATGAAGATAAATCAGCTCAATAGATTCAAATCCCAAGGGAATGATACACTCACTCATGATGAAGCAAAGAATGAAATGTCTAGAAAGCAGATAGTCAAACAGAGGCCACAGCAGGGGCCAGAAACATCCTGTAATTAAACAAGAAACGAACATATGGAAATAACATTCTATTGAAGTTAAAATAGATTTCAAAGCCATTCCATCATAAAAATGTCCACTCAGGACAAACCCTCCAAAGTATGCATGGCACATAGAATGTCAGAATTGTGAACATTTAAAATGAAAAATAAGAGTATTTTCCAAGGGGCTGGAGAGATGGCTCATTAGTTAAGAGCACTGACTGCTCTTGCAGAGGACCTGGGTTCGATTCTCAGCACCCACATGACAGCTACAAACTGTCCCTAACTCCAGTTCCAGGGGATCCAACGCCCTCTTCTGACCTCTGCAGGTATTTCATGACATGGGTGCATTTACACACATGCAGGCAATACACTCATACACATAATTACCTACTTACCAACCAGCTCAGAGAGGCAGTGAGCTGAGGATGGGGTACATTTGTTGTAGAATCCTCTAGAAGTCTATAGCATCTAGGTCAGTGCCTGGTACATTATTAAAGAATAAAAGAGGGTTTACTGCAAAACTGATAGACCCAAACCTATGTACTAGAAGAATGTGTGGAAGGAGCATGAAAAGGAAACTACATTCTTCACAAAAATGTATGTTTTGATCATTTTTCTCAGCCACACTTTCTTGACATGGTGAAGAAAGTGAAGCTTGGGGTCTCAGGGAAATTTAGGCCCCACCTCTGCTGTGGCTATCAGGGTGGTCATAGCCAAACTTCCAGCTGCTCTGAGATTCTCTCCTTCCACAGTCAAATTTAGTTTGGTCCTGTAGTTAATAAGGTAAATGCAGTCCACAATAAAGTGTCTTTAAAAAAAAAAAAAAGCTCTAGGAGCTAGAAAGATAGCTCAGTAGTCAACAGAACTTATTGCCCTTCCAGAGGACCTGGGTTCAGTTCTCAAGACCCACATGGTGGCTAACACTCATTGTTAACTCCAGTTCCAGGCGATCTGAT